TGATGACCTTGCTCGAAGAATTAATTGACCGTTAATTTTCTTGTAATGTATTAAAATTACTAGATACCGGCTGGTGGCGGAATTTGGACCATATTGTATATTTGGTTTTATTTAATTGGTTACTTGGCGAGTATAATTCGAAGACTGTCCGTGTGGTGACGGGTTAAGAATACAGAGTGTCACCACCTTTATTCATCCCGTGGGTATGTGAAGAGCCGACTAAAGGAGCAAACTAAGCAGGACTTGACACAAACCCTATTACAACCCTTCGGCCAGCGTGGTATAGTAGGCCAAAACCTCCTTTTTAGGGAGAGGCCTATGTCCAGCCACTGCCAATTAAAGGCTGTTGATGTGATGTGATGAGTCCCCTCCCATAACCTCCGAAATAGGGGAAAGGGTGTTTTGGGCTCCAGCAACCTCACTCGGTAAATAAACGAAGAAAGATATGCTTATAATCGTTTGTCGATCGGACCGGCACATATTTACCAAAGCACGGCTCTCTCAAGCTATTATTATAAGTCTATTACAAATGATGATATAACTAATAGTAAAAATGCGTAGTTTAGAATTCTTTTTCCAAGTCAAAATATAACACAAGTTAATATAACATCAAGTTATACGTTGTCAGGAATGTATAACAAATTATAATAGCATGTTAACAAACGTGTCACACACGATATTATCCACAATTGTTAGTGGATTACATTTTTGTAAAGCGGTATCTTTACAAAAATGTTCACTAACATACACTACTTTTTTGTACAGCGGTATTTTTGGGCTTCCGTACCTCAAAACTCCGTACCGTAAAAAAACGGAACTTCAACTCTTATAGGATGGCATTATTTAATATACCACAACATTGTTTTGATGTGTGCCAGTATGTCCGTTATTAAGGACTAAAAGGTAACGAATGAAAGGAGAAAATGAAGCAAACATAAAAAATTGAAAAAAAAAAAACACTAGCCCACACCACATTTCTAATTAATCCGAAGCATTTTTGTCTTCTATGTAATCCACAATTGAGTAATAGGCTTTCTGACACAATCCACGTTTTATTACAGTTTTTTTGTTAATACTTAAGGCTTGAATATTATTTGGGATTTTATTATAAAATCGGACACACTGACCTCGAAAAGACTTGTTTGTCTTTTGGAGCCTATATATACATATATAGACTTGTCACTGTCATTATGTTTATTTCTTTAAATTTCTGCCTCAATGAACAACGATTTCCTAAATAAAGTAAGTAAATTACACTCAAATTGTACAAAAATGATCGTGCTCATCATATAATGCGACTGATCATGGGTTTAATTTCTCTCTCAATAATACTTTTTATCCAATAACATGATTGAATATTTCTTTTACCAAGTTCGATGTTTAATGTACCGTTTACGATTCGCGAATTGTATGAATCACGAGTAGAAAATAATAAACAAACATACGAAGGAAACGATGACTAAATAAAAAAAAAAAACAGAATCTGCCGATAGTCTTAACATTTTCAGGAAACAGGATATGTATGAATCACATCACATCACATCAACAGCCTTTAATAGTCCACTGCTGGACATAGGGCTCTCCTTAGAAAGGAGGTTTTGGTCTAATAATAATAAAAATAATATCGTTAAGGAACTCAATTCGTCCTTTTCGATAAGAAGCTGTACGGGGGTTAAACATTTTGCTGTTACAAACAAAGAGAAAGAATAGGAGAGTTCCGGTTCAGACAAATAGATGAACTGAAGCAGTTGAGATATTTAGTGGTATTTATAGGTATCTAGTGACACGGTCATATTTACGCAGTAAATATGAATCGAATGCAAAGTTTTGAAATGTCGCTTGTGAAGAACGAAGATCCAGTCTATACGAGAAAGTATACATTTAGAAAAAAACTATTTTTTTCTGAATACAGTAGAGTATCTTCCTTCTCTTTCCCTATCTCCTGTTCTTATCTCTCATTTAATTTTGAGCAGTATTTATAAAAAAATTCGTGTTATATTTACAAAAAAAATATATCAATAAATTTTATACGTCATTGACTTTCGTCAGCCTTAGTGTATTAAGGTTAAACGGACAAACAAGAATAATTTGCACCAAAAATCAACGAACTTCCTCAAGGCTTGAACAAATTAACAGCAGATCACATGGTTTTAAGAATTCTATCAAATTAAAAGTAACTATATTTTATATATAGTAGTTTAATATGTAGTAGCAGTCTTAAGTGCAGTATATCGTGATATCCCTACGTTATTAGAAAAAGTTCGTAAGTTTAACGACGACTTTATAATGCTATAACTTCGTAAAAGTGCTACAGAACTTATGACCGAGAAAGTAGTGTTAGAGAAACGCTCTCGAAAATGAAGACAGATGATAGTCCTATGATGCCTTTCATGATGGGTCCATCCTCTTAGCACAGCTAAGTAAAACGATAATTTCATAAAATCATCAAAAAGTAAATCACTAACTAAAAAAAAGTTCAATAAAAACGAAATCAAAACTGTTGAACGGAAGGCTATGTCGATTTTTAGTGACCCTTCAATAATAATAATAATTCATATACATCTCACAAACTCGACTGATGAGCATACTTATATATTACTAAATTCATATCTTATAGATACATAACACTCGGACACAGAACAATTGAACAGAAAAATCACAATCACTTAACCTGGGTGGGAATTGAACCAAAACGAGCGGACTCAATACCTATAGGATGTTTATGTAATTCGAGTACGATTCACACTCCACGGTGTTAAAAATTCAAGCTAATTGAAATCATTGATGAATATATTCAGGATAGGAGGAGTTCATAACATTACAAGTACTTTTACGTAGTATGGATCTATTGGATCTACCACTTAAATTTTCCAATTATAAAATGGTCGTTAACGCTGTCTTCAGCGATGGCCTCATTGTTTTTATGGTTTAGGGGGAGGCAAACGAGCTGACATGTCACCTGATAGTGACTACTGCCGCCCTTGGACACATAGAACTCAAGAGTCAGAGTGCGTTGCCACCCTTTGAACCTCCCCCACTTAAAACCTGAGGAGGGGGGGGGGGGGGGGGGGGTGTTCTGTTGTAACAACATTAAAAAAATACACCCGAATTGCCGAACCGAACCTGCTGATTTTCAAGTCAGTTAAGAATAAATCCAATGTCATGTAACATGATAACCAAACTATAACGACCCATTACTAATCAAACAGTCGAACCAATAGCAACAAAGGCATTGCAATGTGACTACGCATCACCATTTTATCTATAAATTGATGGCAACAATGTATGAAATTTAATAGTTTCATTAAAGGTCAGATAATACAATAATTCTTTATAAACTTAATTCATATCGTGGCAGCGGACAATTTTAATGCCAATTTCAGTATTACTAATTATAATAATAACCTCACTCATCTACATACGACCGTCTAATCCTAAACTAGACCGATACTGTAGTAACCAGACTGTGGATAAACATATTTATACAATAATATTATTAATACATATTATTGATAAATTACACCCAGAAACAGAACAAAATGATAGTGCTCATCACACAAATATTTGTCCTAGGTGGAAATTGAACCCACGAACTCTGACTTAACGGTTAGGATCACTAACCATTTTATAATGCTTGTCAAATCTAGTCTAATTTATCAACAATATTTATTTAACTGAAATTATTCTTTCAAAAAAATATTCTCAATTCAGCTGTATTTTTTTGTTTTACATTACATCATCACATATCAACAAAAAAATCAGAAATAAAAAGGTGTCAAGTTTTCCTTATTTTTGCAGTGCTAGGAGTAGTGATATTCCGTATTCTTAATACGTGTAGGATACGTTTAGGAAGCGATTTGGACAAATATTTTTTAATTTAGGACTTCCTGTTTGGTCCCATTCAAATTTTAAGAAACATCTCAAACCATTTCAATTTACCCCTATGGGTGGAAAATTAAGGAATGATAAATAATGTATATTATAATTCGATGATATTTTTTTGACATTAGTAAATAATATTTTTACAGGTACCTACATCAATCAAAAGAACATTAAAAAAATTGTGCTGAGTTTTTCACACCATTAACTCTACAAAACAATGGTCGTTCTGTTGTGTAAATACAACTTTTAAGGATGCAGTAATACCCTGAATAATGTCTATATAAAAGCTGATACAGCTTTTATATTTTACAAGGTCATTATTGGATACGCAGGTCAAGTTCTGTATACAAAATAGAACCTTTATGACGTCAATATTGCATGACGCTACTAAATATAGAATACCGAAGAAAGCAACTCGGTGACCTAGTTAAGAGTCGCTCGCACGTCCACGAGAGGGCCAACCAAAGTCCTTGATTATAGGCAAATAACTGCAGCACTACATTCTCGGTTAGGAAACTAAATGGGTAATGCAGACTTGTAACTACGATGAAGAATTTGATGATTTCCACAAATAAGTATTGATAGCGAACGTAAATGTAGATAAGAAGAGATTAACTCTATAATCCATCAGGTTCCAAGAAGTTATAGTTTCGTATTGGAACCTGATTCATTCAGTCGATTAAGGTGGTGCCAGGTTTGCATGGCATGGCATGCGTCACTATTTTCTTAACGCGAATGGACCACAGTGACTAATAAATAGTAATGTAATTAAACCAGAGTTTGTTGCTTTCTTCAAAACAAATGCATTCTATGAAGTCAATAATTGAATCGCACATGTGTTTGGACTATAAAGCAGCGAGGGCGTGGCCTTACATTTTTTAATAGCTAATGCCAAACCTACATACTTAATAAAGTAAGTATCAGTAAAACAAATGAAATCATGTTCTTATTACAAATACTGTACATAATAAGGTTACAATTATTGATGATTTAGTTAACACGAATGTTCCTCAAGTTCTAGGCGTTTGCGAATTGAAAAATATTACTGTAAATTGTCTACCTTTAGCGCAATATCTTCAGCGTGCGTAATAAAATTAACTATAAAGCTTTGTACTCACCCTTCCAGTATCTTCTATTGGTAACGCTGTACCATTGTATGAGCAGTATGTGCTTTTACCATAGATCTTGTCTATTTTACACATGCCATACCACACACAATGACCTTCCGCGGCAGCCGATGGTATCTGCAACAAAAATACAGTAATTTCAGTTCAAATAATACCTAATATAAAAGATTCAATTATGGTTTTTGTTATTGTTTTAATATTTTTTATTAATTTGTTTTTAAGTTCGTTGTAAACTGGTAAAATACAGTTCTCTCGATTTTCGTTCAAGATTTCTAGTTTCCGGGTGTTTCTAGTGTCTCAATACAGGTTTTTTTCGCGAGGTTTCATGTAATATGCGTTCATCAAATTTGGGACTAGCAAATAATTATCAACGCGTTAATGCTTATATTTTGATAACATAACAATTATAAATTGTCATCACATCGCACATTACACCTTTAATAGTCCACTGCTGGACCTAGACCTCTCTTTAGTAAAGAGGTTTTGGCCTACGCTGGCCAGACGGGTTGGTATAGGGTTTGCATCAAGATTTCTTTCTGTTATCCTTGATTATAAATTGTTATAGCGGTACATAATAAACGCTTGTGTTAACAGATGTTTTCTAAATTGTCTTGTCCAGATCAACAACATCCATTCAAACTTTCGCATTTTTATAACAGTAAGATTAGCAGAATACGCATTTTAAATAAATCTGATATAATTCTTGCTTTAAATAATGAATGCAATGAAATCGCAAACTGGAAACCAGATGACACTAGAGATTAGAATATTTAAAAATGACCAGGCATTGTAATTTTTTGTTTTCTATGAAAGATTACTACAATATTACGAGAAATAAGCGATTTATAAATTGATTTGTAGTAAAAAAAGTGTAATTTTGGTATGCTTATCCATACCGTCACTAAATCATTAAAAACATTGTTTATTTGAATGTAATTTGATACAACAGCTCATCAGAAATGTACGGAAATGGTTAAGGTTACAAAATACCTATAAATATACAGAGTCAACAGAATAATTTGTTTTACATTAAACAGAGATACGATGATGCAACATAATATTACCAAGTTATGAAATAAATATTAACAGGATGTAATGACTACCCAATAACTTTTTTCCATTTTTTTTTAAAGAGACTCCGGATAAAACAAATTCAAGAATTAACTCCGAAACAGATTTAAAACTTGTATTATTTTCTTACAACGTAAAAGGGAACATAAGTGAGAAGGTAGCAAGATATGTTATATATTATTGTCGGTATTTCCGGACCGATACGACCTTCAAGAAAAGAGCGTACTCCTTCCTAAAAGTTTGTAACTTCCGAGTTGCAGACGTTCATGGGCGGCGATGGTCACTTTCCATCAGGTCTGCTCGTCTGCCCCCTCTAACATAAAAAAATAATAATATATAAATATTTATTTACAGACTTTCAACTGTGGTCCAATTAACATACTCTTTTTAAAACCATTTAAAACCTTCATCACAATTCATTACATCTTCATCCACCCTTCCTAATTCTAGTCCCCTACTCTACATACGGTTACTTCCACCAGGCGAGGTGATGATGCCTGGTAGACTCAGGCTCAACTATTGCTGTCGGGAAGTTATATACGCTCAAAGTAATAGGCGGAAAACTTTCATTGCGCGATTTAAGATTAGTAGTTACGCAGTAATTCAGGACGGTACGTATGTTACGTTGTAGGTATGTTCCTATTTCGTTGTATGTGGAAGTCGCGGCAGATAGTGACAAATACATGGCAACGTAACGGGACCCCATTTCTCACGTTCCTCTGTGCTATTTTTCTATTTAAATGGTATTCTTACGTCACCCGCATCCGTTTCGTTCCATTCAATTACAAAGTCATATTCGTTCCTATTTTTCTGATTGACGTTAGCTGTTCGAATATATTTGGTTGTTTTGTTAGAGTTGCATCTATTAGTTTTAACTTTTGGTAGAAAACATTATTTTGTTCAATTATCATCATCAACAGTCTTTAATAGTCTACTTTTGAACATAGGCAGAGGCCTAAGGAAACTCCTTCTAAGGAGAGCTTTAGAAGGAGTATTTGGCCTACTATACCAGGCTGGCCAGACTGGTTGTAGGGTTTGTGTCAAGTTTTTCTTCTCTTTGCAGTGCTGTTGTTCTGGTAGTTTGCTCCTTTAGTTGGTTCTTACAACACCCACGAGGTGAATAGAGGTGGTGACACTTCGTATTTTTTATTCATTACCACTCGAACCGTTTCATTTTGGCTAATTTATTTTTTTATTTATTATTGACACGCCAACAGTATACATTTACATTGTTCAAAATGCAGTTAAATATAAAGGATAGTTCTTACATGTAGACCAATTACAGGCATGCACAGTATACATCGTTGGATAGACACACATATAGGCAAGATTAAGATTAAAGTGAACGACAATCCTCAAAAGTTTAAACAATGAAATGGGAGTCATGCAAACGATTTCAGTATCATATCCTTAAAGTGTATAAGGAAATTGTGGAAAATTTCCAGTTGTTCAATTTTACCATTTAGCATATAATAATCGCGACAGGCACGTACCAAACGATTGTTTAATCCTAAATTAGTTCTTAATCTACACACTTCAGCGTCATGGTAGCGTACGATGGTGAGATCCTGCATTTGGTTGCACATAAACTTAAAACAAATGATTATTTCTGTTGACTCAGCATCATGGAGTCTTGAAACGGTATTTATAATCATAGGTAGCTAAGAACATACCTCATCGAAATATGCATGTTTGTAGTTCACAATGCCTACCCATCATTACCATAAGTCGACAAGATTACGCACAGTAAGTACTAAACCAAACACGCGCTAATACACGTGAAATACGTTACTCGGTGACATTTGTAAGGTTATTAAAATTCCAGTAGATAAGGACTGGACATTGCATGCTGGTATCACTTCGACACAGTTTCCGATTTCATTATCTCAGGACTCAGATAGTAGGAAGCTGGTGACAGTATTTTACTGCTATAGGCCCTATTAAATATTTAGCATGTGTGTAGGCAGAAAAACTCTCTCAGGCGATAGCCGTTTTATTAGGCACTCGATAAAATAAAATAAGTCAACGTACTAAAAAACTAATGCGCAGTTTTCGGAAAATCTACGAATAGATATAAAATTATATTATGAAGTATGATTTGATAGTATAGTTGAACTATATAAGGGAGGTCTTGATCAGCAGTACATCAATATATATAGTTTTCTGCTTTCTGTCTGTTAATATAAAAGTAGTTTAAAGAAAATGAGTTGTATTTGTTTATTTGTCTACGTTGCGTGTCTGGTTTTGTATTACTTATGTAAGTGAAGAATCCGGATATGTAGGTGTTAATATATAGGTTTACTTTAGACGAGCTGCGAGACAGAATATACAACTAAAATGTTGTTTATCATACATGACGCAGTTCCCCAATATGATTTGTAAGGGTCTATTTATAGAAATGTAAGGCACACCTTCAAGCATTTTACAATTGGCAACGCCATGGGTATAAAATTTTATTTTATTTACAGTTATAAAGTAACACGTGACCGAAAAACGCAGAATTTGCTGTTTTTCCAAGACGGAGAATAGAACTGTATTTACCTATGTTTCGCTCTGTTTCGTAAACAATCTATTAAGTACATCGCCAGCATCTAACATTTTGATGTGTATATTATGTTTGATGAATGAGGTTAGATTTATATAATATGTCTACTAAGGGAACAAATTACAATCCAAAAATGTAGATATAAAAGATACCTATATGTATATTTATTCAGCTTTTGTTTTAGTCCTTTTTATACCAAAACAGTAATATATACGTTTGTATTTCATCGCATTAAATACTTTACTCAGAGTTATAAGTACGAGTAACACCCCTAGTGATCCATCTACACAGCTTTTTCTTGTGCAGGGATTTCCTAACTTTTTTGGGCAAGAGACCCCTTTTCTAAAATGAACTGATACGTCAGAACCCCATAGCCAAATTACTGCACGCTTATCGACTTCTAGAGTTTTTTAAAGTACAACAATGATATTTCCTACCTAAATATTAGTTATCCTTATAACAAGTTGGTACACGTAACACAACTGATACCTACAGTATCCTGAATGTTTCAAGCAAGATCTTGTGTTAATTAATACGGGTCGATTTTTAGACCTAGTCCACCCCCAAAATCGGTTTTCGCTGATTTCGACTGGATGGGGTCAATATCGAGCACTTTGGGAATCCCTGTTCTAGTGTATAATCTTATTGTATTAAAATCAAATAATAATAAGCAGAGAAAGTGATTATGTTTAGAAAGCCGCCAGCTCAAGTCGGTTAAGAATTGGACATGTTTCAGTTATGTAATCAACATGCTAAGACCAGTTAGTATTTTTTTTTTGCTATTACTAACTACTAGGTTTTTGTATTACAAAGTACACCAATTTTACTTATTGTTTTACTGTTCTATGTTGCGATCTGGGCCTTCCTTGTTATATAACAATCAGATTTGAGTAACAGAATCAAAAATTTATAATATATTTTACCGCTAAAGCTATAAGCTACCTCTTTCATAAAATTAAGCTGCAAACATAGTTAACGATTCTACATTACAACTACGACAAGTCTACATTATTGATGCGTATGTTAATAATACAAAACTATTTTATATTGTCACGTGCATTGAAATAGTGAAGTCAACATGACGTCATAACAAATAAGAAGATAATCGAGATTGTATCACGAATGACAGACAGGTGACGCGCAAACCCAAAACAACAAAAGAACAAAAGAGCCAAAATCTGCCAGTATCCATACTTATACGAGTATTATAAATATGTGAAAGTGAGTTTGTTTGTTATGCTTTCACGGTTAAACCACTGAACCGATTTAAAAAATTCTTTCACCAATGAAAAGCTACATTATCAGCGAGTTACATGGGCTACTTTTTACCACCATAACCGACATACACGCTCGCTGAGAAGCGGGCAAAAGCTAGTCGTTTATAAAAAGAAAACATGATATTATGGCGAAGTAAATTGGTATTAATATAATTTCTAACCGAAATCTTTTGCTGATATCAAGGGTCCCAGAACGATATTGAATACAAGGGAATTGTTTAGAA